TAGGAGTAGCCGAAATTGAAGGAAAGATGAGAGAAAATCGGTTACGGTGGTTTGGACATGTGCAAAGAAGGCCTACTGACGCTCCAATTAGAAGATGCGACTATGGGACAGAGGTTCAGGGCCGAAGGGGTAGAGGAAGACCTAGGAAAACTTTGGAAAGAGACTCTAAAGAAAAGACTTAGAGTACTTGGATCTAACGAAGGACATGACACAGGATCGAGCACAATGGCGTTCTAAGAAAAAGAGATTCATATAGCCGATCCCACTCAGTGACTTGGATTTTCCAAGTCTCCAACCGAGAAGTTTTCCTCACTCGGGAAATTAAGGGAACACTACCCCAACCTACATGCTCCACTCAGAAAGCTTCAACATACAAGCTTCAACACAAAAGAAAATTCAAAGAACTTAGCGAAGAAGGCTTTGGTGTATTTAACACAATACGTTGAAATGAAGGAAAGCTTATTTATTGATATCCCTGATAAGCTACAAATATGTACATATACATGAGTCAAAATAAACACACAAGAGGGAGCCTTCACAAAGGTTGCTTAGGAGAAGTCTCAGCAGTCGGTAGAGCCCCAGAAAGAGAAGGCACCGGAGGGGGATCATTTGGAGCCTCAGTACTGGACAGAACCCTAGAAGGAGGAGGCATCAGAGGTTGATCATTTGGAGCTTCATTACGCGGTACAGCCCCAGAAGACGAAGGCAATAAATGCCTTTGGAACAAACCCACAAATCTCTGATGATCAAGTAAAACCTGACCATCAGTTTCCTTCATCTGGTCAAGCTTCCTCTTCATGTTTGTAGCATAGTCATGTGCGAGCCGGTGCAACTGTTTATTCTCATGCTTGAGCCCTCTAATCTCCTGTTTGAGACTCATCACTTCAGCCGCCAATGATTCAACTTGGCGGGTTCGAGCAAATAGGCGTTGGGCCATATTAGACACAGAACCTGCACACTGAACACTGAGAGCCAGCGAATCCTTAACAGCTAACTCATCAGACCGTTTGGAAAGTAGTCTGTTATCTTTGGGAGTGAGAAGGTTCCTGGCCACCACCGCAGCGGTCATATCATTCTTCATCACGGAATCCCCAACGGTAAGAGGACCAGTAGGGGAGACGAAGGATGGGCGCCATATGTTGTCTGGAGAAGGCGGGGCTGCCTCTTCAACAAGGTTCAAGTCAAAACGACGGTCGGAGGGGCCAGACATTTTCAAAGGTGTTGAAGAGAGAAGAGGTCGGACAAATCAAGATCTTAGAAGTGCAAGAATGAAGCTTCTACTGGTGGAGATTCAAGTGTGCTTTAGAACTTAATGCCAGCCCCTATAAAAAATCTGCACTCGACGGAGCTTCAGAAATCGAAGAGGCGCCTGCTCAGAAATCGAAGAGGCGTTTGCTTTCTCAAAAGCTGAGCTGCTTAGAGATCACGAGGGTTGATCTCAGAAATCGAAGAGGCTTTTGCTTCAAAAGTCTAAAAGTTGGGCTGCTCAAAGACCACGAAGGCCGATCTCAAGAAATCGAAGAGGCGCTCGCTTTCTCAAAAGCTGGGCTCCCCAGAGACCACGAGGGCCGATCTCAGAAATCGAAGAGGCACCTATTTTTCCAGCCTTGTCAGCACCTGTCACACGCACACTCAGCTTTGCGGAAATTATGGGCATTCTGTCGAAGACTTCTGGGGAAGTAGAAAACACATGAATCTTACTGTTCAATCACCCACTTCCCACACGCAACAATAGCTCATGGGTACCACAGATAACTTTGCCAAAGTTCTCTGCCAAAGTTGAGCACGTGAAGCTTGCAGCTCCCACTACATCGCTCTGACCAAGAAAGGTAAAAGAATAGCAAAGAAACAGCACTAACAAAGTTTAGACCCATAAATTTTGAAGGTCTAGCTACCCATATTATTACCCACAAGGGTAAAGGAACAGTACCACTGCTGGATAATTGGAAAGTCCCTGTGTGTCAACCTCTGTGCTTCGTGGCAAGGTAGACTAGCAAACATGCCCAACCTTTACTCACATTCGAGAAAACACTCCCAACAAGATTGCTTGCTCCAAAATCGAAGAGGCACCGCCTTCCGAATCTCGAGAGCCAGACTCCCAACATGATTACTTTCTCAAAAAATCGAAGAGACACTGCTCCCCGAATCTTCGAGAGCCAAACCCCCAGCATGATTGTTTTTCTCAAAAATCGATGAGGCATCGTTCTCCGAATCAATCGAAGAGGCGCTCGCTTTCTCAAAAGCTGGGCTGCTCAGAGACCACGAGGGCCGATCTCAGAAATCGAAGAGGCACCTACTTTTCTAGCCCTGTGTCAGCACCTGCACTGTCAGAACGCACACTCAGCTTTGCAGAAATTATTGGGCATTCTGTCGAAGATTTCTAGTGAAGTAGAAAGAAAGCACATGAATCTTACTGTTCAATTACCCACTTCCCACACGCAACAATAGCTCATGGGTACCACAATAACAGATAACTTTGTCAAAGTTCTCTGCCAAAGTTGAGCACGTGAAGCTTGCAGCTCCCACTACATCGCTCTGACCAAGAAAGGTAAAAAGAATAGCAAAGAAACAGCACTAACAAAGTTTAGACACATAAATTTTGAAGGTCTAGCTACCATAATATTACCCACAAGGGGTAAAGGAACAGTACCACTGCTGGATAATTGGAAAGTCCATGTGTGTCAACCTCTGTGCTTCGTGGCAAGGTAGACTAGCAAACATGCCCAAACCTTTACTCACATTCGAGAAAACACTCCCAACAAGATTGCTTGCTCCAAAATCGAAGAGGCACCGTCCTCCTCCGAATCTCGAGAGCCAGACTCCCAACATGACTACTTTCTCAAAAATCGAAGAGAGGGTAAAGGAACAGTACCATTGCTGGATAATTGGAAAGTCCCTGTGTGTCAACCTTTGTGCTTCGTGGCAAGGTAGACTAGCAAACATGCCCAACCTTTACTCAAATTCGAGACAACACTCCCAACAAGATTGCTTGCTCCAAAATCGAAGAGGCACCGCCCTCTCGAATCTCGAGAGCCAGACCCCCAGCATGATTGCTTTCTCAAAAATCGAAGAGGCATCGTTCTCCGAATCTCGAGAGCCAGATACCACAGACCACTTTTTCAAAGTGCTCTGACAGAGTTAAAACATGTGAAACTGACAGCTCCCACTACCGTGCTATGACCAAGTAGGGTAAAGGAATAGCATTACTACTTGTTGTTAGGGAGACGCCTATATATGTCAACCTCCATCCCCAACGGACAGGCAGACCTGCAAAAATGCTCAACCCTTCATCATATCTGAGAGGGCACTCCCAACGAAGCCTTTCGAAATATTCAGCTTTCTTTCCCCCCGATAATACCTCTGCAAACAAGCTATACTAGAGCAAGAATATCTCATATCATCAGGGTTAAAAGCAAGAGTATCCCATATCATGCTTTTTCCCTATCTTTTCTTTTGGCCTTGTTTTTACCTGCAAGACAAGGAGAAAGAGAGCAATCAGTCAGCACTTGGAATCAAGCTTCCAGCCAGGAACTGACTGCCTGGAACCCCTTACCTGATTACTTACCTGGCATTGCTCTCGAGTACTCATCTTCAACATCTTATGTTTCCAAGGAAGATTCCGCATCTGCTTGAGGAACAGATAGGGCAAGTGCGAAGGATACAAGGAAGCATGTGGAGACAAGCGTAACAGCAGCACACGTGCCGATACATCCATTACTCTGTCAAAAGCAAAAGTATCCCATATCAGCAGGGGTGGAACGTACTCTAGATTTGATGGACTTGTTTTGACCCTTAAATTCTTCAGTCGGCCTTATACTCTGGAGGAAACCAGAAAACCCTCCAGCTCAGTTCAAGAATAAGCCTGTGGAAAGTTACTTCTTCAAAAGCAAAAGTATCTCATATCATCTCTTCTCATTTTTCTTCTCTTTATCCTTCATGCTGTTGCAAGATGGGGAGAAGGTGAACAATCAGTCGGAGCTCTGATTGCTTACCTTGTCTGTCACCTCTTTCAGCAGACCCCCTAGCTCGGCGACTTGGGGGACTCCTACTACATGGTTTGTATCGCGCTTGACCAAGCCTGAAACTACAAGTAAGCTTCAAGTGAAATTGATACATTACCTTGTGCATCTCCACCAGTTAAAGATACCACCCCTGGATGGAGGAAAAGTACTTCCAGAGAAGATGCCACATCTACCTATGAGACAGATAAGGCAAGTCAAGACGACACCACACTCCGATACTTAGAAGTTTCGTGATTACGAGATCATTCTCCCACAATATTTCCTAATGTCATTTGTACTAAATCATTCACTTGTACTCACTAAAGGAGAGCTTGAACCTATGTACTTGTGTAAACCCTTCACAATTAATGAGAACTCTTCTATTCCGTGGACGTAGCCAATCTGGGTGAACCACGTACATCTTGTGTTTGCTTTCCTATCTCTATCCATTTATATACTTATCCACACTAATGACCGGAGCAATCTAGCGAAGATCACAAAAAGCGACCGTTTTCGCTACCTAGGATCTATCTTGCAAGAGAACGGAGAATTAGATGGAAATCTCAACCATAGAATACGAGCTGGATGGATGAAGTGTAAGAGCGCATCCGGCGTGTTGTGTGACCGTCGTAGGCCACTGAAGCTCAAGGGAAAATTTTATAGGATGGCAATAAGGCCAGCGATGTTGTATGGCACAGAATGTTGGGCGGTGAAGCATCAACACGTACACAAAATGGGTGTAGCGGAGATGAGGATGCTTCGTGGGATGTGTGGGCACACGAGAAAGGATAAGATTGGGAATGAGGATATCCGAGGTAAAGTAGGAGTAGCCGAAATTGTAGGAAAGATGAGAGAAAATCGGCTCCGGTGATTTGGACATGTGCAAAGAAGGCCGACTGACACTCCGGTTCGAAGATGTGACTACGGGACAGAGGTTCAGGGCCGAAGGGGTAGAGGAAGACCTAGGAAAACTTTGGAAGAGACTCTAAGAAAAGACTTAGAGTACTTGGATCTAACGGATGACATGACACAAAACCGAGCGCAATGGCGTTCTAGGATTCATATAGCCGACCCCACTTAGTGGGAAAAGGCTTTGTTGTTGTTGTTGTTGTTGTTAATAACGAACATAAGCAAAATTATACTGCAACTTCTGCACACAATCATCCCCTACTCTGCACCGTAAGAGTACATGCCGGTAGACAAATCTGACAAAAATTGCATTCGATGGCAAAGCACACAGGACTACCTGATCCCAATTTACGAGCAAACATTTTTATTATTAATGCTACAACTGAGTGTTTCTTTCCTAATAAGTTCCGGAAAAAGCGTTCCTCCTTTATATAAGCAAAAGGGTGTTAACTAGTTCTTATAGAAAACCTCATCATCTTCTCCCTTCCCTAGTCCTTCCTTATCAACTACCTGTATAATTCTGCAAATGCAGTGGACCAATAATCCCTGAAGCCGAAACATGAGGATTCGAAAGGAATATATCAAATGGTTGGACCATTCTCAACTTCTGAGCATGACTCCTCCAAAGCTCAAAGTTCTTCTTAAAGGAAAATGCACTTGTGACAGACAAACCAGGAAGCAGAGTAGCAGGAACTCCATCGCTCTGACCACCGTCAAACCGGTCAGGAGTCCCTGAATTATGACGTGCACATACATGATAACTGGCACCGGAGTCAGAAGCAACCGAAGCCAGATCAAGTGACATTGAGAATGGCACATCCCAATAGTTTCCGGGTTTGTCAACGAAAAGTCCGGGCCAAACTGCCTCCACTGTCAAATTATGATGAGGAAACTGCAATGTACATGATTATTCACAGCATTACTACAAACTCAGCAACAAGGGCACAAAACTGATAATTTTCCATGAAAAAAAGTCACCTTGTGCTGAAAAAGTGCTTTCTTTCGGGGCTTCTTGTCATCGCCATAACCGTCCACACTCAAAACCAATGTGTCATCGGGTGTTAGCCAAAACTCAGAGCAGAAAGAAAGGGCGTACAACGACTTCTCACGCAGGTGGGTTCCAATGCTTTGCATCCACGAAGATACAGAGTCCGGCGGCGCCTCCTTCCCGCTCTTTTTCACGGCGGAGATGAACCGCTGCACATTGAACTGACCCAGAAACGTCCCGAACCTATAGAGCTTTTCAATTCGAGAATTAGTGATTCAACTTGAAAAATGCAAAAGGGAAAGTGAAGTGGATTTTGGCGGCGCTACCAATTGTCGCCAATGGGTAGGGTGAGGACTCGCTGGAGAGTGAAGCCGTTGGCGGGGGCGTAGGAAGGGACCAAGGGGGAGGGCATGAACCGCTGCATGAAGTCGATTTGGTTGGGCCTGGAGAGCTTGGCGCCACGGGTGAGGCCCAGAGGAAGTGGATCGCCGGGAACCGGCCGGACCAGTCCGTCGAGGGTCCTCGGTGTCGACATGTCGAGGTCCCAGAAGCTGCCGTCCATTGCCCATCTCAGCTTCTTCATCCATTCCCAGATTGCTTCTTGTTTCAGCTTCTTCTGCTGCTTCTGCAACTTCTTCAAACCCATTGGATCTTTGACAAATTAATGAACGACAAGTCGTCTAACTTTGGAAACGACAGTGCTTTGAGTGGGATAGGTCCCATTTTTTGTGTTATTTTGAGAGTTTTAACGAAAAGCTAACGATACTGTTCACTTTAACGAAAAACCATATTTTTACACTAAAAAATCAAACCTAGTACTATTCATTTTATCCTTTATTTTGTCATTTTCGTTATAACTCAAAGTTTTCAAACTCTTTTCATTATTATTATTTTTTTTAATCATTTGTACTTACAGACCCTAACAAGCATCGACACATTACATTCTTGAAGCAAGACGCAACGTGGTGATAAACACGTTTCATATAAATTTCTCTCAAACGAGGCCACATAGGAGTGAGAATGAATTTTAACGTATAATTTTCATCATTCGTTTGAGCCTTGGCATAGATGAATTGATAAAGGTGATGAACACCTTGGTGTCGTAAATCCGTCACAAGCCATAAGCACTGATTACTAATTAGTAATCACACATTATTGTTATTAGTTTGAAACCTTGATGTTGTAACGTGTCGAATCATCATACAGATCAATACTCGAGTTAGGATAACAACAACAACAAAGCATTTTCCCACTAAGTGGGGTCGATTACATGAATCCCAGAACGCCATTACGCTCGGTTGTGTGTCACGTCTTCCGTTAGATCCAAATACTCAAGTTAGGATATTCAAATAAAAATCAATATGGTAAACTTGGTCGCCATGATCAATATTTACAACAAAAATGCAGTTTTACGACATACAGTTCACCTCGTCGTCCATGGCAGATCCATTAAACCTCGAACAGTAGTATGAATACGAATCATGAGCAAGCGTCTGCAGAAACAAAAGGCACGGCGTATAAGTGTTGGTTCTAAGGCCGTTGCTATGAAGACTACACGATTGTGTGCGCGTGTAATACATTGCTTATTTGCATTTTCTTTACTTTGTATCACGTCTGCATAGAAATCCTGAGTTTGAATGCAGAGCGGAGCTACACCTATATGGTTTTCTATGTCAGCATTTCATCGTGCAGGGTTGCACGTGAAGAAGAGATTTTCGCTCATTCTCTAACAATTTAAGCTTTGGTGTTTAGTGGTTGTCAAACACAGAAAGCATGATAAAGAACGCCGTGATAGTTGAGTTACCTGTTCCTGCGAGCGGAAATACATGAACGGTGTATAATGTAGGAAATTGGACACCCTAGAGGTATATATATCAGCATACCTGTAAGATGAAAAGGAATTGAGAGGATCAATATCAATGAGGACATTCATAATTTCAATTTTGACATCTGTCACAGCCGTGACCGGAGTACACATTAACGAAAGTGAACATGTCAGAAGAAAGAACATACTTCTCGATTTGCCTCATCAAATGGCTTTTATCCCAGAACCCTGCACGTGAAAGAAATCCCCACCTGAAGCAAGGCGGGTTCAAGATGTCAACTGTATGTTCATATGACAAACTTTTTCTACAAATAAAACACTAGTAGTGAATAAACAATTCCGTATTCTTTGTAAGCATCTTACCTTTTGTTGAAGAGCTCTCCATCTGCTTCTAGCATCGGAGCAATTTTCTGGTCTAGTCGTTGCATAACAATAAGTAGCTTTTGCATGCTTTCTGAGAGTTCTTGATCATCCAAGTTTGTTGCAGCAAGGGTCTGAAAGCACAGAAAAAATTTAAGAAGCACTACATCACATAAGTCTTGGATTAGGCATGCAAGGCATTCACATTGCTTACTCAATGCTGATGATTCAAAACGAAACCAATTTAGACTAATAGCTAACTAAAAACATAAGCAATGAAATCATAAGACAACTTACTTGAGCAGGACGCCCTTTAGTTCGCCTTTGTGAGGCGAGCCGAAGTTGGTTGAAAAGATCCCCTACGACCTCCTTTTGATTTATAAGATCTACTAGTGCTGCTCTATGACCCCGGCTATGAATCAAAGCACTATACTGCAGTTCAAAATTTTCATGAAACAAATTAAGGCCCTCATTAGCATTCAACAGCTCAAGTATATTAAAATCTCAATTTCTAGGACACCAAATTATAAATTTAGTTCACAGTGTTCGGTCTGGGGAATAACGGAATACTTATATAAAGGCGGATTTAGTTTGCAGTCTCAATGATTTTTTTCTAGGTAGTACTATATTATGAGTGATGCCAAATTGTTAGTTGCATTTCCCTTTCTGAACTCTAGCATGCAAAGAGAAATCAACTGCACAAACCTCTTCTTCCAATTCTCGACAAATCAATGCTGTTCGCCATCGCAGATGAACTTTGGATTGACTTACATCGGTGTAGATATGATCACCAACATATAGTATCTCATCTCCGTGGATATTTAGGGAATTCTCAACCATCTGAGCACTACCTCCTGAATACAATCCCCCTGCAGAAAGAAGACATTTGAATGAGAATGAGATTCATAAATAGATGTCAACAAAGTATAGATGAATCGAAAAATCAGATCAATGCAAAGCACAGATGAATATTCAGGCAATCCTGGCAAGCAGTGCCCCTTATTACATGCACCTAAATTCATCTACTTTAGCCATGAAGAAATGTATCCTCAGGTATTATCCCTGCTCATTCACTGTATTTCTTCCGTGCATATAAAGTTCACTACAAATTATGAGTCATGACGACTATGCCACTATCCATTTCTCAAGACTAAGAGAAGACATTATTGTCCATGGAATCACATCCTAGACACCTTAAAAGCATGTTCAACCACATACAAGATATTCAGTGCTAAACAGGCACAAGTACCAAACTATAGCCACTATCACCTGTTTTAGCCTAAACCCTGAAGTATAGCCATTATCACCTGTTTTAGCCTTGAAGCATGGACGCATGAGGCCCTCACCCGTCACTACCTCATACATTGGGTGTGACATTTGGAAGAACTCTGGCTTCCTTGCAGAGACTATTACCTGCATATAAGCGTAATAAACAAAAATTCTACTCACTGCTGTTGACGCCTGGTTACAATTCTAAAGATCATTACTATTTATCAAACTCCTGTAGAGCAGATGCCCAAAAGAATAATTATTATTCAACGTACCATGAAGTTAACACTAGATGGATGACGTTTACTTACAATGTCAAATAGATCCCTCCAACCCATCTCATTGGGAAGAAATCTGTTGAAGGAATGCTGCATCATTTTGTCGGTGTAATGATAATCTGAGTTGGTAATGAGCAGAAGCTTTTTACCAGCCTTATGCACAAATAAGTTCTAGTAAATTAGGATTTATATAATAGCCACACGCTATGCAAAGATGAGATCATTGAGATCCTATAAGACATACCTCTTTTTGATCCAAAAGCGCTAGTGGCAATTCTGGATCAGGCGTCACAAACAGTTCAGGCTTAGACATTATCTCGCTCTGCATATACGCCAAAATCAGTTCATGTTCATGAACCAATATCTGATTATTATTCAATAAACAAATAATAAATATACAAATATATTAACCTTTAGTTGACCCTCGACATGTGCCCAGAAGAGGGCTGTTCCAACAGCCTGAAATCATGTCAAGAGTTAAAAGGGAGCAAGAAAAAACCAATGCCAGAGCTCTATAAAATTGAGGCAGAGCATATTGCCTTATAGAGCCCTTTATAATCAAGTGGACCAAGTTCTGCGGGTATGGTTCCATCATCCAATCTGTCAACCATCTGAAAAAATGAAGAGTCAATATCTACATAAGTAAAATCTGCAAAATGATAGCAACAAAATGAGTTGGTTGTTTAAAAAGGTGATCTAGCTAAAACAACACCAATACCTGCATATAAGCCACAGCTTCTGAGACAGAGAACAGTGTATTAAGGAATTCCCACCGAGTTTCCTTCCGGAGGTCCACCAGTTCCCTCCCGTACATCTCACTTCAATGGAAAGAAAGTTAGGCCACACTATAGAATATACTACTCCAGCTTTTTCCCAAAATGATATTCTAAGGAGCTACATGCTTGAAGAACCTAGCCGCATACGCATAGTTACAATATAAGGGCAGACCAAGTATACATATGATATATAGTTACATTCATTTGGAAAATCTTATTGTTAGTTATAACAGAAAAGACAACTGAATTTGCATTTGCAGTGCGAGACTAAACATAAATCCATGGGCTGACACTCTACGTGAGTCACATTCTCCATTGTTTCTCTATAATCAGAATAAAAGGTTCCAAGCGTACCTTACAGCTCGATTAGATAGCATGGATGTGCCATGCATAGCCCTCTTAACATAACCAAATCGATCAGCCTTCACCAAGTTTCCGTTCTCTTTGTCTATGACGAGGCCTCTAATAACCTATATGAAAAGATAGAACAAGGATGGGGAAGAAAAAAGTAACTTGAAGATCTTCTGGCTTGCATAAATGTAAATACTCAGTTAAATTTTCAACTAGTTTATAGATGATACCAAGTCAGGGTCAAATGCAAGACCGTCAACAGGGAATCCCACTTTCTTTAAATTTTCCATACAGTAATCATAAGCCCTCCCTTCCCAAGCCTGCAAGATACAAATCCATGTCAGACAATCCACAATTCCACCTCCTCCAGCACCAGCAGTAACCAGAATAGTAATGGTTACTAATGTACTCTGGCTCCAACACTGCAAATGCAAAATCATACAAAAACAGAAACCAATGAAACTTACAATCACGTTATAATGCATCAAGGTGTAGTCCATATCATATCCGATGGCACTGATTGATCGGAGATTCAATGTGCGGCTACAGAAAATGCCACGAGGTGATTGCCTCGACGAAAAAGGGCTCTGCACATAAAAATTCTACATGGTAAGTTCGATGCACAGGTACCACCATAAGCAAATGGTCAGTGTGACGTTCACTGGAACAACGACAAAAGAAAAGAAAACAAGGCCAGTGATTTAAACACTCGCTCAAACATTGTAAGCTATTCAATTTGGGGTGCAGATGGCTAAAACTATAGTGCGAAAATAAAAAATTGTCAGTCGAAAACAAATGTATGCAACAAAAAGATTAAATAACAGCACCGGAATACCCAAGTCTCTGAGCAAGTCTCCAGCTTCTTCAGCCTCCACTCTGGCAACTTCCTCAATCGGACCTTTCAAAGTTACATCACCATCGATTCCTACGCGGGTTGTCGAAAAAGATCAAAACTTTAT